TCTAACTGGAAAGATAGCTCAAGAATTAAGGGCGCTTACCCTTAATTACACTCTATTCCCCATAGGAGTGGCTGGACCAGATTTGGGATGGAAAGTCGCAAACCAGCCCCCCTACGGAATTCGAGACACGCTTCTTCCTCAGCCCAGGGTCTCCCCATCCTGGCAAAGACGTCTGTTTGCATACATCAGATCCAAAGGAAGCAAAAGCCCGATGGCTGATTTGCATACGCTCGTGCTATTGGTTGGAAGGGCGGCCCGGTAGCCAATGGTTTGCAGCGGTGTTTACCCAGCCGCGGCTCCGCGCCGCCGGGTGATGCAACGGAATCCCGGCTGGTCCCCGTGCTGACTCCCTCGGGTATGCCTCGTGAGGTAGCGGCTTCCCCGGGCCCCACCCGGCCCACCCAGACCCGGCGCTGGGCAGCGCAGCCGCCCCCGGGAACGCGACGTGGGGCACTGCCGAGGCCGCAGTGCTGCAGCGGGGCCCGGCCCTGTTGCTTTCGGCCTAGCGTTCCGGTCCCGGCCCCTCTGGGAGGGCCCGCTGGGCCAGATCTGATCTCTGGCGACGTGGAGAGAAATTTGGAAGCAGACAGCAGAGGATTACCAAACTCGACCCCTCTGGGAGTGGATTACCGGCCTCTCACTTCGTAAATCACGCAGTCCTGTAACGTTTTGCATTTGTTTACAACGAGCCAGTTTGATTTTGTAATAAAAAAAAATAAGTTACAGAGGATTTCTGTTTGTTTTTAATAAAGAGCCTGGCTTGGATTTAGGAGAAATCTTGACATTAATTCCAGCTCTGTCACTTCCAGCCTCGTGACTTTGGCCACTTTTTCATGTTGGCCCTGATGGCCTTGCATGGCAACTAGGGAAGAGCAAATGTGGAGGCACTTTTAAAAGCTCCCAGCGGGGCGCCTCCTCGTCCTTATGTAATTCAGAGCAAGTACTCTCATCCGGGTTTTGTCCGTAGAAGGCCATGATCCCTGCGACAGCCCCTGGAAGGCCCTGTCTTTGTGCCCCCATTTTTTTTTTTTTTTTTTTTTTTTTGCCCTTGAATTGCTCCTAAACCTGGGGAGTGGTGGGAGGACCCCAGCCGGGTATTTCTCCATCTTCAGGTTAAGGAAGGGAACCACAAAGGGAATCCCCTCCACAGCCCCCCTCGCCTCACTGAGGGCTGGGGCCTGGACAGGGGAGCCCCTTCAGGGCCCAAATGGGCTGGGGAGCCCCCTTGACATCCTTTTACCACCGCCCCCAGTGGGCCAGGATGGAGGTGAGGTGGAGTGGTGTCTCCCTGACTAGGTGGAGTTGGGTCATGAGTTTCTGCTACTTTGAGATGGAAGGGCATATGGGGAACACCACTAAGGGTCTGGTTGATTGTCTGGGGTCCTGGGGCTTTGCACCCCCAGGATCTCAACCCTGCCTCCACCCCACCCCTGTGAACTTTGAGGTCAGTCTTTCTCCTCCATGGGATACCCTCCCTTCTCTCTGCCTTGCCTGGTCCTGTCTCTCCCTTCACACTGTGCCCACGTTCGCTTCTTCCAGGGAGGCCTCTTGTGTCCTGCTTCCCCATCAGACTAGGATCCATCTCTCTGTGGCAAAATCTTGTCCTCTCCCTTAGGAATTTCCCAGAATGTGGGACAGCACTGGCTGGGGTGTCTGTTTTCCCCTCTAGTCCTAGCTCCTGAGCCGTGAAAGGAGTTGACCTTCTCTCCCCTCAGTTTTCCCATCTGCCATGTGGGCTCTGTGGTAGTTCCTGGAATTTGTGTAGAAAGGGGAGAGGCTAAGTTATGAAGGTTCAAGATGGTGCATACAAATTAGAGCACTGGTCAGGGAGTCAGAAGACTGGGGCTGTGGTCCTGGCTTGGCCACTGACTAACAGGGTCAAGGAGACAACAAGAGGATTGAAATTTACTGGACATCTCTCATGACATAATGAGGTGACATTGCCCTCATCTGTGCAGCTCCTCAAGCCCCCTGATAAACATACCAGCTGGCAAAGACAGGCTGAGTACTTTGCATGTGCAGCTTCGAGACAAAGTCCCAGCCCTGCCTTCCCCCAAATCCTCCTGTGTGGAAATGGCAGGTCTGCTACTACATGCCAGACTCCTTGCTGCATTCTTATATCTACTATCAAAGATGCACTCTTAATGACAAATCTATGAGATGGGTATGTCATTATTCTTTTTTAAAGGTGTTTTGTTTTTTTCTTTTTGCGGTACGCGGGCCTCTCACTGTTGTGGCCTCTCCCGTTGCGGAGCACAGGCTCAACGGCCATGGCTCACGGGCCCAGCCGCTCCGCGGCATGTGGGATCTTCCCGGACGGGGGCACGAACCCGTGTCCCCTGCATCGGCAGGCGGACTCTCAACCACTGCGCCACCAGGGAAGCCCTGGGTATGTCGTTATTCTTGTTTCAAATGAAGAAACTGAAGGCAAGAGAAGGTGAGTAACTTCCCTGAAGTCACCTAGTTGGTAATAGTTGGAACCAGTGTCAATCCCAGGCCTCTTGAGCCTATGTTACTTCCACCATCTCAGTCTGCCACCACGAGCCACAAAGGTGTGTGTGTTTTAGCATTACATATTTTAATATGTTTTTTATTTCATTATAAAACAGGAGAGTATATAATAAAGCCAAGTTGTGCTGAAGTATTTATAGAAGGGAGAGACCTCTGTGGGCTGGAAGCCTTCATGGAAAAACTGGTAACTGAGACGTTTAAAAAATTTCATCCTTCCTGTCCAAATAAATGTATTTCTCCTACACAGGCAAATATTTTTAAAATGTATTTCAAAAGTTAGATTTCTGGAAAAAGAAAAGGAGGAGGTGGGGGTAGTGGCTTCTTTAAAAAGCCCATTTGGAAGGAACTCCTGGGGTAGGAAGGAGAGGAGGGTGGTGAGGGAAGGAAAAAGCCAGACTCACAGCCTCCCTGCACCCCCGACCTTGCCGTTTTTTGAAGACTCCGTTTCTTTATCTCCATATTGGCCTAATATTTGAATCTGGGAAAGAAATATAAAGGTTCTGAGAAGGTGATTTTGAGACAAACCAGAGATTCTTGGGATCGTTCTCAAGAAGGAGAGAAAGGGGCTTCTGAGTTGCAGCAGGCGTTCAGGACAGGTCCGGGAAAGGATTTCTGGGGGTGGGCGGGGGGGGGGGGGGGAGAGGAATGTGGCCCCTGGAATGAGGGCTGAGTGGAGGTATGGGGCCTCTTCTGCAGAGTTTTGAATGCAGAAGAGATTCTTTGCTGCGTGGGGCCTGGCCTGGGCGCTGGCATTGATTAGCAGACTCGTAATTTAAGGTGGCTCCGAAAATGAGCAGCGGCTGATGGCTAGGGCCACAGAGCACAGGACTGGTCCTGCCTGACGGGCCTTCCCCAAGGGCCTTGCCTGCTGGGCAGCACGGGGGGAGACACTGTAACCCCAGCCCCACCCAGCCAGACCCCCGCCCCCCTGCTCCGGCCTTGGCTCGTCTTCCCCGAGCCAGCCCCTCCTGAGTGGGCTGCTGCTGGGGGAGAAGGATTTGTTTGCTCCGGACAAATACAGTTCTCCCATTTCCAAAGAGTGTTCCAGTCAGGTGGGAGAGGGAAACCTTCCAAGCACTCTCACTCCCGGGCAGGTTCTTACTGGGGAGAAGAATAGGATCAGAAGAGGGTGGGCCACTCAGCGCTTCCTGGCCACTGTGGTGTGCCTCTGTGTGTTTCTTTCACGAAGCACTCCTGTGTATTGGGGAAGTCAGGTTCCTAGAGGAAAACAAGGAGGAGAAAGTAACTGTGAGTAACTACTGTGTACGAGGCACCTCCACGGTTGTTCGATTCTCCTGACTCCTGATAACTGGAAAAGGGGGATAATATTATCATCCTCATTTCGGTTGATTGATTGGCTGCGCTGTGCGGCATGTGGGATCTTAGTTCCCTGACCAGGGATGAAACCCGTGCCCCCTGTAGTGGAATCGCAGAGTCTTAACCCCTGGACACCAGGGAAGTTCATCATCCTCATTTTATAGGTAAGAAAACTGAGGCTCAGAGAGGTGAAGTGACTTGCCCTAGGTCACACAGTAGTATGGGAGCAGCTGCCTCTGGGAATGCTTCTCTCCAGGAGAAATTTCACCTTCCCAGAAGTCTTCTTTCTCTAAGCTGCCTTCTTGTGTGAACGCTGGACACCCGGTTGGCTGGGCTCCTTGCCCTTGTGGTGGCATGTAGGCCAAGTGATGCTGGTGGGGGTGTCCAGGGCTCAGAGGGCCCCGGTCCTGGTTTCTCAAAGCAGCCTAATTGCTGTGTGACTTTGGGCCGCTGCTGAGCCTCTCTGGGCCTCACTTTTTCCACCTCTTCCTCGGGGAAGCCCCCGGGTTAATTTATTTATAAGTCAGCTCCAGGTTCGCTGCCTGGGAAGATGTCAGCAAGGCCGCAGACGCCTCACCTGAGAAACAGCTCCCCCACCCAGGCCGCAGGCGGGCGGATTATGTAACAGGGTGTGCGGCGAGGGTTGGGGAGGGGGGCCCGCGGGGCGGGGCCAGGCCCTTGCGGCTATTCCGGGCGCCGCTATTTTTAGCCCCATTGATGAGGCTGCGTCGGCCACGCAGCCGGGATTCCGGAGACGTCAATGGGCGCGCGTCACTGTCCCCGCCCGCCCGCCGGGGGAGGCGAGCCCGGGGCTGGGGCGGCGGTGCTGGCAGCTGCGGGGGCGGGGGGCGCGGTCGCGGCCGGAACTGGGGGCCGGGGGGGGTCCCCGGGGGCGGGGGGCGCGGGGCCGCGGTGGCGCGGCTGCAGGAGCGCGAGGCGGCGGCGGCGGAACAGTGGGGCCCCCCGCGCGGCGTCCGCGATCCCAGGCCGCCCGGCCATGGGCGCTCCTACGCTGCCGAGCCGCTCCCCGCCGGCGGGGGTGCGACCCCGGAAGGCGGGGGCGGCGAGGCGAGCCAGGCGAGTCGGGCAAGGGGAGGGGGCCGGGGAGGGGGCTCCGGGGGCCCCGGGAAGGGTGCGGTCTGCGCGGGTGCGTGGCGGGGGTCGGGGCCGCGCCGGGAGTCCCGCTTGGAGACCGGGGGGCGTGGGGGCAGGGACTGGATTCCCGGCGGAACCGGCTACATCCGAGTCAGCCCCCGAGTGTGGCGGCCAGCGCTTTCTCGCCCCAGCCCGCCAAGGGTGGGGTTTGGCCCGCGAGGGGCGCTGGAAGTGGCCAGGCCAGAGGAATTCCTTCCATTTCCCCGCTGGCTTCCAGGAGTTAGGGAGCTCGGCTGCCAGGACGCCGAGCCGGGAGGGACCAGAGTTGCCCGGTGCAACCCCTTCGTGGGACTGAGCTGAGAAGCCGAGCCTGGAGAGGGTCTCGTGGAGTCAGGAGCGGACCTGGGATTAGAAGTGCTGCAGAGGTGGCATCTCCAGTGGTTTCCAGTGGAGTAATAATTTGGGTTGGGGGCTAGTATTAGGGGTGTGCTGGGAAAAGGAAGGCTGGGCAGAGGTAGGTGGATTGAGAATAGTTATGCCCAAAGTGTGCTGATGTGGTAGGAGGCTTCAGTGGTGACTTCAGGCTTGGCCCTAGACCCACACCAAGTGAATTGGTTGAAGACTTGAAAGGGAAGCCAGCCGACTCTTTGTAGTGACCTAGAGGTGAGAGGAATGACAATGACAAATGTATAGTACGGTAAAGCCAAGATTCCAAGCGATGGCAGCCAGGCAGAAGGATGGACCAAGTCTAGCAGGATGAATGAGACTGATTATGAATGTTGAGGCCTGTGCTGTAGTTAAGAAAATTAGCTGAGAGGTTCAACCCAGCAACTCAGGCCCTGGAGCTTCCCACTGGCTCTCTGGTGTTGGCTGTCAAATTGCTCTGTGCCCACTAAGCAGGTCCAAGGAGGGAAGGGGGTTGCCTGACCCTGGGCTCCCTGGTTGGGCTCCCTGGGTTCTAATCCTAGCTTTGTCACTTCCTAGCTGTGTGACCTTGGACAGGTTGCTTAACATTTCTGTGCCTTAGTTTCCTCCTTGTTAAAACGTTCATAATAATGCTTTTCTCACAGTGTTGTGAGGCTAAAATGAGAACCTGAGTGTAAAGTGCGTAGTGATATATTTAGCACATGGTGTTCAACAAATATTAGCTGCTGCTGTTATTGTTGGTAATAGTAATATGCCCATTTCTGGGTGGGGACATTGGCCAAGGCAGAGTTTATGCCATCAGGAAGCCACCAGGGCTCCAGAGGGTCTGTCATTCATGTCCTGTTGCAAGGAGTTCAGATAAGGAAAGACTCAGTTGATAGGAGGGAGGAGAAGGAGGTTTCAGGTGGGTTCATGCGGGGCTGGGGGCTCCTGTGTCAGTCGTGACTCAGCATAGGAGGGAACCCTTGGAGTTTGGGTCTGCCCCCAAGTGGAGGGGACAGCTCCTTAGCCGCAGTGTTCTCCCTGCCTCCTTCCAGGTGACTGGCTGACCCTCCTCCTAAACCCTTCCTGATGCAGGCACGTCTGAGTCCCCCTCTCCCGCATTCCACAGATACTTAACTGAGCACCTATTAGTACTGAGCTCTGGTTTGGAGTCTGAACTCTGCAGCCATTGAGACAGACACGTAAACAAACGCACAGCATTAGTCCTATGGCGATGGTAAAAATAGGTTCATGTGGCGGGGTGGGAGTGGAGGTGAAATGGGAATGGAAACCTGATTGATGAGAAGGCGCTAGCCACACAGGTATCGCAGGCAGTGACTGTCCTGGCAGAAGGAACAGCCAATGCAGAGGCTCTGCATGGGGCAAGAGAGCACGGGGCTGGAGCACAGCAGGGAAGGGGAGCTGGAGAGCAGGGGCTGGGGGCTGAAGTCTGGCCTGAGGCGCCCACTTCCTTTGGGGGGGAATCACTTTCTCCTCCTCCAAGCCCACTCAGCTGGTTTGTCCTCGGCACAGGGCTGACTGGAACCAATGTTGATTCGTTCCTGCATCGTAACCTCCTGGGGCCCCGGGACCTTGATCTGCTGCTTCTTGGATCTCCCACTGTTTGAGGCTCACTGGCTCACAGTAGGCCCTCAGTAAATGCTTGTGGAATGACTGTTGAGGATGGGATTTGGATGGAGGGCAGGAGATGGGATCAGATGCCTGCTCTAAGATGCTGTGAATCACTTTCTGGGCACCAACTGGATCCCCGACTCTGACCCCTGTTCTCAGATACAGGGTCTTCCCGGGCACTCAGGTTGGGCCTGACTGTGGTAAGAGGTGTTTGGCCCTCCCTACCCTTTGTCCGCAGCTGTGGGCTGGAAGGGAGAAAAGGGAAGGTTGGTGGGGTCGGGGATGGGGGGAGGCTAGGGCATGACCGCAGACCGTTTCTGGGGTACGGGAAGATGACAGGGTCATTCTGGGAAGCAGGTGTAGGCTGTGGGCTGGCCCAGGTTTGCAGCCTGGTTTTGCCTTCTGTGTGGGGTTGGACTCCCTCTAGATGATCCAGACCGCCTTCCCCTTCTTCATGCCCTGCTCCCCATTATACCCACAGGGATATCGGGGTGCTAATAGCTCTGTAAGAGGAGAATCTGGGTACCATGGGCTAGAGGAACTCCCCTAAGCCTGTGGACCGTGGGACAGAGGTTAGGAGGGTGAAGGAGTCCATCACCTACCCTCTGGGACCCCTCCTCCTCACTTCCTCTACCTGGCACCGTGGAAGCATCTACTTCTCTTTTCCTAGATCTCATCGGCCTGAAGGGCATCCTGATAACCAGGGAAGATCACGCCTTGTCTGGTCCTGCCCTCACCTTGGGGCCCAGGCAAGAGAGGAGAGGGCTGAGTAAGGGTAGGAGAAGGGAAGGAGAGGAGTGGGGTCTGCGTTGCCCTGGCTGAAGGCTTTGGCACCAGCAGGGTTGGGGGAGAGCTTGAAGAGGCTGAAGGGGTGGCACGCACAGGTGGCCCTGGAAGTAGAGGCCAGGTGCCCAGAAGTGGCTTGGAATAGGAACCAGGTCTGGGGTTAGCTTTTATGTGTCATCATTCAATTTCTCCTAATAATGATAGCACCTGTGTGTATCCAGCACTGTTTTAAGTCCTTTACACATATGAGCTCATTTTAAGCCCGCTGGTAAACGTATGGTTGTTAATTTTAGAGATGTCAATTACAGATTCTCTTCTTTTTTTTTTAGACTATTTATTTATTATTTATTTTTGGCTGCATTGGGTCTTCGTTGCTGCGTGCAGGCTTTCTCTAGTTGCAGCGAGCGGGGGCTACTCTTTGTTGCGGTGCACGGGCTGCTCATTGTGGTAGCTTCTCTTGTAGCAGAGCACGGGCTCTACACGCAGACTTCAGTAGTTGCAGCATGTGGGCTCAGTAGTTGTGGCTCGCAGGTTCTGGAGCGCAGGCTCAGTAGTTGTGGCGCACGGGCTTAGTTGCTTCACGGTATGTGGGATCTTCCCGGGCCAGGGCTTGAACCCGTGTCCCCTGCATTAGCAGGCGGATTCTTAACCACTGCGCCACCAGGGAGGTCCCACAGATTCTCATTTTCACAGATGAGTAACAGAGAAGCTATGTAACTTGCCTAAGGTTACAAGTGATGGAGCCAGGATCTGAACCCAGGCCACAGGGCTGCAGCATCCATGCTCTTAACCCCTCCACCCCAAGCTGGACCTTCCAGCTTTGTGACTGGAATCCCTTCAGAGAGGATTTCCTGAGAGTCCCCATGGCTCAGATTAGAAGGCTGGGCTGCCTAGAGATGGGGGCATGGAGCCCTTGCTCTGCAGCCTCTGAAGCTTTGGGGGCCAAGTTGGAGCCCATTAAAGGAGAGAGGGGTATTCTGCTCTGTCCTCACAATAGCTCCCTTTTCTCTGCCTACAACAGGCCCTTTTGTGCACATCAGGGAGCTGAAAGCTGGATTGAGGTACCCCCCTCCCCCCAGGAGTGGGGTGTGAGGCTGAGGAGCTGTGTCTCCAGGGCCCAGAGGTGCCCCAGACACTGTCGGCAGCTCCTGGCCACACCCCACGTTCCCAAGTGCTGTTTGCTTGCGGTGTGGGCCCCCAGCCTCTGACGCCCAGCTCACGGAGGTCCTTGGGCTGCCTTGTCCCCCCTCATGGCCCGGGTCCTGCTTCTGTTCCCACTCCTGTGTTTTCTGGCTGTGCTGTCTCCAGGGAATGGTCCCGCTAGCTGGTTTCTCCTCTCTCGCGTGGACTCTCCCTCTGCAGGCCTCCACTGTGGACAGAGGCCAGCCCCAGCCCCTCCCTGGTGTCAGCGCCTTCTGCCAGGCCCCGAAGGCCCGAGGGATGGTCGAGTGTTGTTCGAGGACTGTTGGTCCATCCAGAGGGGTGAGTGCCCTGCTGTTGCCCCTTGTACGCCCCTGGGGCCCCTGAGGTGGGTGTGGAGCTGCCTGAAGCGGATGTGGTTTGGGGGATGGAGGGGGAAGCCCTGCAGAGGTGGTGGGCGAGGTGCTGCTCAGCATGGGAGATCTGATTTCTTCAGTGGTGGGGGTAACGCGGGGGCAGGGAAGGGGGGAAGCCTGACTTTCTTAGCAGGACAGACTGGGGGGCTCTGGGCCTGGGTGTCATGGGGTTGTTGGGGATGACAGCTGCTCCCAGGGCAGCATGTGCCTCCTTCTGGGAAGCTGATGGGGTGGGGTTGTATAGCTCAAGGCCAGGCTGGGAGTATAGCGGGGCAGACCTGGGGGATGGGAAGTTGCCTTGTTCCTAGGGTGTAGACACTGTACCAGGGGAGTGCGTGAAGGGAAACTTGGACCACCCCTTGCCTCCCTGAAAGGGTGATGACTGCCCCCTTCTGCGGTGGGCCTGTAGGTCCTGTGGGGTCTGGTATGGGGCGGGTGGCTCTATGAATGGGGAGGATCTCGCTGACCAAGGGCAGGGACAGACCCTTCACTATTCATCCAACATCCCTGAGAGGGAAAGTCTCAGACTTGTGGCCATGGCCAGAGAAATCCGTGGCCGTCTAGCTCCCCTCCTCTTCTTATGGATGAAGAAACTGAGTTAGAGAGGGGACAAGGCACTTTTCAAGGTCCTACACTGAGGACGTGTAGACCCGAGCTCAGAATCCAGGTCTTCTGGATTCTGGGCAAGCCCAGTGGCCCGGTCAGCTGGTGGAGGACATACCTTCCTTGCCTGAAGATGCCTCCGGAGAAGACACAAGCTGATCTGTGGGTGAGGGGCAGAGTATGGGAATGGGATTTCCACCAGGCCTTTCCTTGGGGACTTGAGGTACTGGGGCGGGGTCAAGGGTACATAGTCCTGGTCACCGTGTTTACCTGAGAGAGCTGGAGTTCAGCTTGGCGCCCTGGACAGGGACCCTCTTATTCCCTTCTTCCTTGCCCAGAAACGAGGGTCATCTCTGAGCAACACCCCCTTCGGGCCTTGAGAGATCCCCAGATGAAGCAGGAGCTGGCTCAGTATCCCACCCTGGACCCCCAAACTCTGTTGCCTCTTGTGGAGTTGGTGTTCGAGGTGCAGAGAGTCCCAGAGAGGTGGCTGGGATGGGGAGGATGGGCTGCCCAGCCCTCCAAGCCTGGAGGGAAGGAGGGAAAGCCCTGGGAAGCAGGGCCTCCTGTTCTGGGGGCTGCGCTGGGTATGCACCTGGCCTCTTGCTGGCAGCAGGCACTGTGCCACCAACCTCGGGCTGGGGCAGGGAGAGGAATTACTGTAAGTGGAAGAGGCGGGTGTCCCTGGTCAGCTGGACATCTGGACTCGGGAAGCACGTGAGTGAAGATGACAGCAGCGGCCGGGTGTCTTTCCCTCCGCTCAGCCCCCACCTCTGCCCTCAGGTCAGACGCGGCCTGCTGAGTGCCTAGCCTTCCCTTTGGGTACCCAGTGGCTCCTGGGGCCAGAATTCCTTGCGGTCAGTCCGTTGTCTGGGTAAGGGTGGTGATTGGGTGGAATTCCCATGCCAGAGGTGCTGGCAAGGCCACCATGAGTGCTACCAGCGGGGGCTCCACGAGTGCTACAGCTGCTGGTCCTGTGACGTGGGCACCTGTCTGCCAGGCCCGGGCACGGGCCCAGGGTCACGCTCATGCCAGGGCTCCCGTCAGCTGACTATTTTAGGCTCTTGCTGACCTGGGCCAAAGTCAGGCCTCAGCCAGAGGGCCCTGAGGCAGCTCCCCCTGCCCCCAGAGGCCAGCTCCGGTTTCAGCTATATAAACAGAGGAGGACATGCTGGCTTGGAGGCCGCTCCGTGTCCTGAGTCCGCTCAGCTGGTGCACAGCCTCGGTCGGCAGGACGGGCTGACTGGGCGGTCACGTCTCTTCCCGCAGGGCTTCCTGAGGCCACCGGGAAGAGTCCCCAACCAATCCCGGGATTCTCCCTTGGTGCAGTTGTCCAGGCCCTCAGAGAATCAAAGCAGATCGCGTGGAGGAAGCTGGTGAGTCTTAGGAATGGGGAAACCGAGGCACAGGGGCTGGGCTGTGTGCATCTTTTTCCATTGTGACCGTCCTCACTGTGGTTTCTTTGGCCTCCGGAGGGGGAGGGGCGGAGGAGGAAGCAGGGGTGGCCGACCCTCCCGAGGAATGAGGGTAAAGGCTTTTTGGCACTTGGATGACGGGAGTTGGACTTGGATCCCTTTGTGGTTGAGAACCAGGCGACGAGGAAATAGGTGATGCCGCCTGTCTCCTTCCTCAGAGATTTGCAACAGGGTCTTCCATCCTCCTGTCCTGTTGACCCGGCCTGGACAACACTGGGGACGGATGCTGGAGTGAGCTGGGTGTCAGTCAGGTACCTCAGCACTTGTCCTTGAGTAGGGTCCCTGGCCCCCCAGCTGGTTGGGACTTGGGGTCTGAACTTGTGGATTGACGTCCCTGAGCCCGCCCTCGGCCCCTGCCCCGCCCTACTTGCCTGGCTTCCCGCCTGGTTTGGTGCCTGAGAAGCTGGACTGGAGCTAGGCTTGGCAAGTCCGCCAACCGGCTTGCCACAAGCACGCTCCCCGGGAGCCGGGCCAGGGGCTTGGGCCGGCATGGAATAAGCGGAGCTCCTTACGTGGGAGGCTGTGTGCTCTCCTTCTCGGTTCTTGAAAAAAAATTTTTTCCCTTTCTGAACGTGAGTCTTTAAACGAATCCAGAGCCTGTGACTAAAAATACTTCAACAATAGGAAAATGCATCAGTCTTTCCGGCTGGGCCTCGTTATCAGAGGGTTTTTATTTTGGAATTTGAAATTTTGCCCAGGGAGGCTGGGTGGAGACCTTGGGCAGGCACAGGAGAATTTGGTGGGTTGTTGATGTTGTGCGAGGTGGTGGGAGAACCCCCTAGGGTCGGGGAGAGAAGAGCTGGCCAGGAGCTGAGCAGACTGAGGGGCATGGAAGGAGATTTTTTTTTTTTTTTGGCTGTGTTGGGTCTCCGTTGCTGTGCACGGGCTTTTCTCTAGTTGCGGCGAGCGGGGGCCACTTTTGTTTGCAGTGTACGGGCTTCTCATTGCCGTGGCTTCTCTTGTTGCGGGCTCTAGGCACACGGGCTTCAGTAGTTGTGGCACGTGGGCTTGGTAGTTGTGGCTTACAGGCTCTCGAGCGCAGGCTCAGTAGTTGTGGCGCACGGGCTTAGTTGCTCCGCAGCATGTGGGATCTTCCCGGAGCAGGGCTCGAACCCGTGTCCCCTGCATTGGCAGGCGATTCTTAACCGCTGCGCCACCAGGGAAGCCAATGGAAGGAGATTTGAGGAGGCTACAAATGAGGCGTGGGTCGACTCTTCCCAGAGGACCTCCATGATCTTGTCTATGTTTTCCAGCTCTGTCTGGAGGTTCTTCCTGAAGTCTGATCTTGTTGCTTTATGTTGTATGTGGATTCCTTCTGGCCTGATAGCGGGCTGGGGGTTGAGACATCACTGGACTGGAAATGACCTCTGTGGAGAGAGGTCTGACCTGCTCAAGTAACCAGCTCTCTTCGGAGTATCAGTTGAGCACTTGCTGCACACAGTCCGGAATTTCCCTGGTGCTGGGCATACTCTCATTTCCTTTCACGCAGCCCTGGAGAGGGAGAGGTGGGGATGGGGGTACTATTTATCTCTGGGTCTTGAAGAAGGAGGGTGCTGGCTCCCCATCGAGCTGACGGCGCTGGTGTCTCCTTTCTGTGCCTCCCTCAGGATCCTGCTGCGGGTCCCTAGAGCCCCAGCCCCCAGACAGTGCTCCCATTTCACTGTGAGCCTCCCCCTTCCGTTAGTGACTTGAATTCTAATAGCACCAGGACTAGTGATGTTGTCAGCATTGGGCAGATGAGGAAACGGTCCCGAAGAGGGCAAGGGACTGGCCCCGGGTCACACACCAGGCTTGCTGGCTCCAGGTCAAAGATGCCTCTGAGAGTTCCTTTATCTTTTGCCTCTGCTGGGGCTGGGGTGAGAAGTGGAGGGTGGCGGCTGACCTGCCCGTGTCCTTGGGAACCTGTTTTCCCGGGAGGTAACAAAACGTGTGGTCGTGGCAGGGCCTGGACAAGGGCCAGAAGATCAGACCTGGGCCTGCCCCTACATCCCCAGTTCCCAGAGCTGTCCGTGGAAGCCCCCTGGAGCAGTAGGCAGAGCTTCCCTGCCCACGGCACAAATCCCCCTGCCTGCTGCCAGGGCAGGAAGAGGAAGTGGCCGGGTCAGGCCTGGAGATAGGTCCTGGGGCTAAGGTGGGGAAGCTGGGGTGGGGGGTGGGGGGGAGGAGGCAAAGCTCACTCCCTCTGCCTACCCTGTGGGAAGGGTGTGGAGGCCCATGGGTGAGGATGGTCTTGGCGAAAGTAGGGCAAGTTCCTGCCCTTTGCTCAGCAGGGGCAGGGGCCAGCCTGAGGTGGGCGGGGCAGCGTGGGAAAGGGGCTGTGCAGTTCCACTTCCTCCATCTCCTATTTACCCACCGTCTTGGCTGGGGGACGATGGTGTACTTTGGCTGCCCATTTGCGGCCTGCCCTGGGCTACTTACCGTTGAGGATGCATGAAGGGGCCTCCTGCCAAGGTGGGAGAGACAGGGCCTTGCCCTCCCGTTCACACACTGGTTGTCGGGGGAGGGATGGCCTGAGCACGAGAGTCCCCGAGCCCCACAAGACTTGACGAGCAGGGGCCAGGCCCGAGCTGAGTGGTTCAGAAAACATGCTGAAAGAGGACCCCTTTCTGATGTCAGATGCTGCAGCCTCTCCTAACCGTAGCTGTGCTCTTGAGTATGTGTCGATAGAACGAATAACGTAATGAGAAACAGCCACTGTTTCTCTGTGATTTCAGGAAACTCCAGCAGCATCTGCCTCCATTTGAATAAATATGTCTCTTCCATTTAGGTGTGGCTATTTTTGTAAATAAACTTTTCTTTCTGAAAGTATAACATCCATACAGAAAAGCATGCAAATCACAGACGTGAA